CGCTACTAGATCCTTTCAGCCGTAAATTACGGTTTGTATTAAAGTTGCAGTATCCTTCCCACTTAAATTTGTTTATTCGTTTATATAGACGTGGACGCTGCGTCTAGGAACTGCCTATTCTAACACATTTCTACGATAGCCTCTGCCAACTGAACTCTCTCGATACTCTAACTGAAAAATCTGTCAATACTTTCTCGATATTAGTACTCATAATGATTTCATGTTTTCTACCCTTTTCATCCTATGGTTTTACACCATCATGTGTACTAAAATATTTGTAAAAATCTTTTTTTTTCCTTAATTTAAGCGTATAGTAATACAATTATGTACTTTACAGAATTTATCGCCACTTTGACATCTAGTTTAATTCCTTTCACTACTAAAAGTCTTAAAACTTTTCACTACAACTATGTTAAACTGAAAATATGTTCAATTTAATATTCAGACTTTTAACATGCCTGCCAATGGAAGACTGCATATCAACCGTAATTAGAAAGTTAGGAAACCACGTAAGAGCAGTATGCACTACTACTAAAAATTGCCTCACAACTGACACAATCAGCTGTGTTTACCAACTTACTCATAAAGTATTTTGGTTATTGGACCAATTACGGCGAAATATGGCGGGTTTTTTAAGGCTTCTGCCTCAAACCTTCTGCCTGGCATGACATGGGCGGAATGCCATTAAATAAAACACAGGAATGTGCTCAGTGTTATTTGAATTGATTAGAAGGATTTTTAGATAATTTCACAATCTTTTCACCATTACAACAATATTATCGTTAAAAACAAGTTGACAGCAGTGTTCCGAGCGGCGACCGTGGAGGCAGAGGGTACCGCCGACCACCTCGTCAGTCCTAAAAAGAGAGTAGAAAAACTCTTCACTAGAGCCTCATAACGATATCCAACGTCCCAATGACCCGAGCTCGCCCAAGGATGGAGAAACGCCACGATTTTTAAGACTGAAAAACCCATTCTCAAACATAAGCTAACTAACCTAACCTATCCTAAAACTTTTTGCGGCATAGTTAGAGAAAAATAATAAATTGCTGCTTTATAATATTTATGTAATTACTTCGTTATTGAATTAAATAAATAGGTACTTGATAATTTATGTGCGGTAATAAAGCAGCTTTTTAATCAGGTGACCTAGTTGCTGAGACGAAGATTTTCAGTCTACGTCAGAGATTAAAGACACGAGAGTTTAAAAGTGTTAATGAAGATACAAGTTTTTCATTTAAGGATTGTAGAGTACCTAAAAAGATTTGGTCTTTGGCAACTTAGGTTCGTAAACGTAAAATTTTGGACATTTTCACAATAGTAACGATTTCGTAAGCAAATAGTTCATAAATGTAACTAATTTTACGGATTTATCGCGTTTGTTTTTAATTTTAATTCCCAACGTACGAACCCTTTACAGCGTTTATGGTCACGGGACAGACTGATCTGTCTGAATTAAAATTAAAAAAAACTCGATAAATCCCTAAAATTAGTTTCATTTATAATGTGTAATCGCGAAAATCCATAAAAAAGCAAATAGTTTTCTTAACTTCTCACATACACAGAGCAATAGCAAATATGTCGCTGTTGATAAAATGTTGTTTAGAAGACATTAGGCTAAATGAGATATTATGTCGACAGATGGTTCATATTCACGCATTCATAAATAGCCTATCGGTAAAACTCGAGCATTCACGCGTTCTTTAAGAAAAATCTTGTACATAATTAAAATAAATAGATAATTATGTCGTTAAAATTAAAATATGGTATATAATGACAAGCCTGGTAATAATAACTCTATACCCGGGCACTCGCCTTTAATTCACAACTCGAGCAATCCGAGTTCAAATCCCAGTGCCAACACCATTAAAATTGTTAATTTTAAGTGCTGGCGTACCACGTGCTCAGCGGTGAAGGAAAAGATCGTGAGGAAATCTGCATATTTTCGAAATAATAACTAAAATGTATATTACGAAAATATACAATAAAGTCTGCCAACCCGCAGTGAGATTGCGTATTAGACTACGTTACCCTCTGTCCAGAAGAGGCCTTTTCCTCCACCTTTACCCAGCAATGGAACATGTATAGGTTGTTACTTTACTTTAACTTTACATCATTATAATAATAACATTTTAATGTTTTGCTGACTTATGTACTTTGTTAATTACTTGAATCCTAAAAAAATCCACAACACGTAACCTAATTAACTAATTTAAAAGAAAATTAAATCTTGTCGAAATCAAAATAATCGGAAGGTAACGTTGAAATTATTGTATCATTACGAAAACATGTCCATAGACTAAAAGCGTCACCCAATTTTTTAAAAAATTTGCTTACGATTTAAGCCCGTTTGTTCAGTGTAAATATGTGCTCATCCACATTCTGAGCACGTTCATCAGTGTAGTTAGTTGCTTTGAGAGGCGGACTTACACGTGACCTCATGAAGAAAGGGTAGAGATAGAGCCAGATAGGCATTTATTATGAACATGCTCTATGCAATTCACCCTGTTTCCATTATGAGTAATGTGTTTTAACTTCGTATACCCACAACTGCTACATGTTTATGCTTTATGCCAACTTCGACTTCACATAAGTTGACGCGGGTAGGAAGCAAAAATATAGACATAATAAAAATTAATATATAGATATGGAAAATTATTGTAATGAATTATATATATTCATATTCCAACTTTCAGATTTTCAATAATAACTTATTAAATAATCTATAGAATTAATACTCTGCAGGTTAATATAATTGTTCTATTTTACTTATTTACTTCTTATTCTTTTATTTTTTTTTCTTCAGTTAGCATCTGCCATCTGCTTTTCACCATTAATTTCACCCATTGTAGCTCTTAGATTAAAATAAATAAATAAAAAAAAAACTGATGTCAGTTTTCGGATTCCAACACTCGCAGCTATATTTACCAAAAAAGACAAAATGAGTGCGACTATTTTCACCTTCTAGTTAAGGTCTAGTTCCAACTATTACATTTCTAGCAAAGGGTAACGTTTCCATAAACTTTTCTATCAAAGCTCGCTGAAGTGCTAGGCAATTTTTCTTTTGAAATCTATTACTAAAGTTTGAATCCACTTTCATAACGACAATATAATTATAATTTTTCATACATTAAGACTTATGAAACGTTTAGATTTTTTTAACATCTGATATTCAATGGCTAAATTATAATAATAATGGCCAGGTCAGATTATTTTGAAAGAAAAATCGTAAATTGTGGCCTGAAAAACCTATATACAGCGTGTCGTTACAACCGCGACAATAAATGGTGTGTTCATTTATTGTCGCGGTTGTAACGATATAGAGCATAACTTTTTTAAATTGTATTAAATATTTACATTCTTTAAACATCAATATTCACCTAGTTATTAAACAAATAATTTTAGAACATCCTTACGTATAAAACTGTAACATAAAGTTCATTTGTAAAGGTTGTCGAGGATGGCAGTGTCATCTCATCAAAACCGGACATTTAAAGAGTGCTCGAAAGGTTTTACGGACAGTTGTACACCTTGAAAGGTGGGTTGGTTGAAAAATGGGTTTACCATTGTCAGAGCAGCGCAGGGCACCAGAGCTAGGTTGACCCGAACGCTACACTGAGGATACCCTAGACATAAGCCTGTACGAGATTAGAATGGCTCTGAAACAGCTTAAGAACAACAAGGCACCGAGCGATGACAGAATTACGACTGAACTTCTGAGAGCGGGTGGAGAATCGCTTCAAGGTACCACGCCAGAAGCATGGCATAGGATGTGGTGCTTTTCTTCAAAAAGGGAGATAACACCCTGTTGAAGAATTATAGACCCATCTCAGTCCTGAGCCATGTATATAACCTGTTTTCTAAAGTCATTACGAATCGTCTCGAACGCAGGTTTGATGACCTCCAGCCTCCCAAACAAACCGAGTTCCGGAATGGCTTTAGCACCATAGACCACATTCATACGCTCCACCAGAAGAAGACGGAGAGGTATAATCGGCCTTTATGCTTAGCGTTTGTGGACTATGTAAAAGCCTTCGATTCAATCGAGACCTGGGCGGTACTGCATTGTCCCTTCAACGATGTTATATCGACTATAGGTATTAAAATTTGTAGAAGTGCGAAAAGATCGTCGCGGCTGTGAGATTCGAACACACGTCTTCGGCATTCGCGGCCTGACGCTTTAGCCACAAAGCTAAACGGCTGATAGCTACACCGACGAAAATCTTAACATCTTTTATCTACATTTTTTTAGCATTTGAAACAATGCTTGGCGCATCCATTGTGATCCAAACAATTTCGAATATCGTTTTACAACGATAATTCGAACGAGAGATGTCGCTATTGCTACTTAGAACTTAAAATTTTTATTGTGCTAATCTCTGCACTTAAAATTCAACATTAAAATTTCCGTGTCATGTGTTCTTCATTCTTTCTTATTATTATAATTTCTTTTTTCAATTTTTATGTATCGCTATTTCGTCGATATTATAGTGAGAATCACTACGTACCTCGCTAGAATAAAAAAATCGATTACAGTGTGTCGTTTCTTTCAATTTTAACTACTAAGTCTGTTTGATGAAAGAGCGCGGCTACAAAACATTCAATTGAATGTTCGCTCTCCAGGCTTGATAATTTGCTCCGAGAGTGCATTACTATTTTTCTTTTTTTTAATCTCAATGGAATTATTTTATCATTATTATATTTTATTTGTTTCAAATTCGCTTTTTATTTACTTAGTATCTGCAGTTTCTGTGTTTACGTACTTTAAATTAATTCATAATTCTGCTGGTACTAATGTCCCTAAAAGACTAGAACCTAGGGCAAGAAGTATAAAGAAAATATTTTGAATGCACGTCAAAATAAAGTTTTTATTTTTACATTAAAATTAAAAATAATACCAGTTAGAAGGCTAACTAAACTCGATTAGCGAGACGTATATTTTGTATATTAGAAATCAGAAGGACGACTTAAATATTTTGAAATAAAGAAATATTTGAAAAATGGTTCGCAGACAGCGTGAACAAAGTACAACCGAAGATGAAATAATTATCGGTGAACGAATTAATCTATTTAATCATACACTTAATTTCTGGTATGCATAATAATCAAAGTCTTAACAATTTTAGATACTTCACCACAGAAAAAACATAAACGACACAAACATAAAAAACATAGAAAACGAAAAGTTGATAATAACTATGAAAGTGATACTTCAATAGATGTGTCTTATGAGGATGTCACGGATAAAGCATATAAAATGAAAATAAAGAAAGAAATGCTGTCTGTCACTTCTGCTGCTGACCTCTTAAAAGCACAAACCATGAAACCTTTGACAGACTCAAGAAAATCTATACCGGGTTCATCTTCAAGTACTCCTCCAAAAGCATCTTCAAAGAAAAAAAAGAAAGGGAGAGACAGTGGCACATCCAGTGAGGAAGAAAGATGGCTTGATGCAATTAAATCTGGAAAGCTCGAAGAAGTAAGTTTTAAAAATTAAATTCCAATTGTATTGAAAAACTATCATTTGTATTGTATTAAATTAATTACTTAATATGATAATTAGCATTGAAGTTATATTTTAGGTAGATGAGGAGTTAAAGAAAATTAAACCAAAAGATCCAAAAATGATGACTGCAAGACAAAGAGCAATGTATGAACGAGGAAATGATAAGGAAACTTGTCCTGGAGGTGAAATATTGTTAGCATTGCCATCTGGATACAAGGAGAAAGTAATGACCGCTGAAGCAATACAAAAAGCTGCTCTGAAATCACAAAAACGTAAACAATTAGCAGATGAGAAAAGGGAAAAAGATAAAAAAAAAACTATGGATAGACTGTTGAAGAAACAGGAATCAAAAAATCTCAAAAATTCCCATAAAGGACGGCCCAATAGAAAACTAGAACCAATGATAGTGTATAAAAACAATAATAATGAAATAACACTTTCAATGCCTTTAGGTGTTCCTTATCCTCTAGAACAGAAAGTTCCCATAGAAGCACCAAAAGTGGTAAAGTGTGGTGTAAATGATTGCAGCAATATAAAGAAATATCAGTGTTCAAAAACTGGTATTCCACTTTGTAGTTTAGAATGTTACAAGAAAAATTTATTAACATTATCACTTCAATAAAATATTTTAACACCGTAATAAATTGAATCACTTCACACATATTTGAAACTATTCTACTCTATCATCTGCCATACCTGGAGCAGTCTTCTGAAACAGGCAAATGCTAATCATCATCAATTTGCATCATGGAAAAATATATTAAAGGCTGGGCTATATTGTTAATGTGATTAGAGGTTTAACTATTTAACTAATTTGGTCAATAAGTTGATTCAATCAACTGTTGTGTCTTATCTTCGAAATCCATTATTTGTGTATTTCAACACTACATTAGAAACTTTATACTGTCTAAAATTATATTTTTCTAACCTTGCAAGTGTGTTGTACCTCATACTTTCTGCATATTGTTTTGAAATTTTGTAATTCTTTTCATGGTAAAGGAGGTACTACCTACTTTAAGATTATTTTCTTTGTATAGGAAAAGTTAGCTAGGTAGCGGCTTACTTTAAAACAGTGGACATGATTATCTCACTCACCAAACTGAATGTGAAGTATAGTACTTTGAAATCAAACCGGTTTCAGTGAGTCCACAGTACTGCTCCGGATGCGCCTGCTACGGAAGTGTTGTGTGGTCCTTCCACAGTAAAATGTCTGATTTTGACACAAGAAAATAATTATCACAAAGGTTTGATAAGCCTGGTATAGAAAAAATAAAAGTGAAAAATCACATTCTCTTTATTTTATTACCAATTTCTATTAATGTAATGTAAAAGTAAAAAAAGAAAAGTAACAGCCTGTACATGTCCTACTGCTGGGCAAGGCCTCCTCTATACAGAGGGTATCAGGGCATAGCCCCACTGTGGTTTGGCGGACTACACATAACTTCAAAAATATTTCTTTTAAAATATTGATTTTAATTACTTTCTGAATAATTAAAATGGATAGTTAAGCACTGCCAGTCCATGATAAAAAAGTGTTATGAGGAAAATAATAAGTAAATGTCGTGTAATGTATATTGAAATCATATTTTACAATAATGAGTTTTCAGTTTTTTTAATTAAATATACCTAATTGAACTAAATCAAATATGTGATTTAAAACAGTTAAGAATATAATATGGAAAGCCGTATAAACCTGTCCCTTTCATTTTTGAAGTTCTTTTGGTGCGTTTGAGAAAAATTTTGAGTCAAGGAGAGTGAATTTTTACAATGCGCAACACCTAAAAGCGACATCACAAATTTGAAGCTAATTTAAATTGAGTTAGAATTCCTAAAACAAAAAGGAATACATTTTTATGAGCCTTGTTATATTAACTTTTCTAAAAAATTCAATAACTAAACATAATAGCCTCAAATATTAAAATAACCTGACCATAAAATGTAATAATATAAAAAGATTTTAGACAAAGTAATAAATACACAAATAGGAACAATACTAAGTTTACATAAACATGATAATTGTAATTGTCTTAAAAGTTCATATTTAACAAATGACAAAAACTACTTAGTATTTCAAAACCATATTACATGTATTTTTACAAAGTATGAAGTATGAGTTATTTAAAATAAGGACAATCCTAATGAATACAGGTATACATCAATTTGGCATTTTAGTTGAGCGTTAAAGTTGCTAATTATAATATTTAGAGCATGCAATTTCATCTACAAGATTGTATAATAATATTGTAATAAGATTTGTTAAGTAGACATCTAAGTTATAATTTCTTATATTTACATGATTACATAATTAGTAAAGGAAGCATTTTCCCAGTTTGTCTTCATTATCTTCATTATCTTTACTTCATTTTTGTTCCAAATATTCCTTACATTTCATACTTTATGAGAAAAATTTTATGAGTTTTCTATAGTCATATAACATCAACACTAAATTCTATATGATTAAAATACATGCATAATGTAGATTAGTTTGCAGTTGTCTTAAGTTTAAAGAACATTTATATGTTTACTACTCAATTATTGAATCATACATTTCTCTTTATTACATATACTATGTTGTGCATACAACATTAACATTTAAATTATAGTTTAAATATATACTAGACATCTTTATTTACTATGATATACAAAAATCATCTTAAATTTCATGGTAGTTTAGGACACATATACCAATACCTTATTTTTAAAGTGAGTTTATAATAAATTTTGAACAACTACATATAGCATAGATGTAGTATGTATATAGCTATGAGATACATTAGTTTTTGTTCTAAATACAGTAAAATATGTAACCACATCTAAGGAAATAGTTCTTCAGAGTCAAAGTCATAAATGCCTCCCATACTTGAAACACTCACATTTTATAAGATTTAGCAAAAGGGTCTATAGCACTGTAAAGGATTACAGAATGAAGCAAGGCGGCCAGCAAATTGATAGATTGTTGCCAGCTGTGTATCAGACATTTGTCCTCTTAGAGTTTCGTAGGCGGGCCAGGCCTGACTGTAACCGCTAAGATTGATTATTTTGCTTATTTGACCTCAATCGTGCTAAGCCTGAGCGCTCCTCTTCCTCATCACTTGTGCAGGAGAGCCCCCCAACAGCTCCACGAGATGAAGTAGCTTGAATCAAATCTTGATCAGGCCCATTCCTGCTTTCATATAGGAGTATACCCAAAGTTTCTTCATAAATTCTAGCCTCAGGAAATTCAACTTTGGTATGCTTCTTGTCAGTGGCATACACAATAGATGTGCAACAAACTTCAGCACATTTTTTTCCATGACCAAAGAATGACCAGCAGCAAATCTCATTTGATCCAATTACATCTTTAATGAAGAGAACCCTCCCACTGAAGCGGAGAGAAAGCTTATCAAACAGTTCAATATTTTTGAGCAGATTGTCATCTGAAGTGCTTGTATATGAATATTTGTTGTTGTGTCTGTTAATCAACAGTTTTACTACAGGCTGAAAAATAATTTATTGCAAATAATTTAATTTTTATTTAATTCAAACTTAACTTTAAAAACTATTTCTGAAATTAGTAAACTATGAAGTCTAAAAAATTTCAATACCTTAGATGTTGACATTATCAGCAACTGCTCTTCTCTTTGTGAGGTGATCAAAGGTACTCTACAAATCGGTTCTGCATCTCTCTCCTTTTTATTTAATGCTTGATGACATGCTTCAGTGAGTTCCTCAATTAGAAAATACTTAGCCTCAGCTAGAAGTTCCATAGTCTCACGGAAACTCTCAGGCAATGCGACAGATCCATCTCGAAGATAATTCAATATTGTACCAAAATGTTTGCCACAACGATCGATGAGGATCCAACCTAAAAAAACGCACTATTTAACAGATGTCAAATAAAAGAAAATATTTAAATTAAAATAAAATTACTATTAGTATATTTACCATCGGAGTCCGTAAGTACTTCCATCCTGCCACTAAACATAGTGCGCAACATATTATCACTCTTAGTAAGCGTTCCTATAGTAGTATAAAACAGCGTCCCTCCCACATTTAATTTTACATATTGAGAGGGACTACCCTTCAAAAATGTTTTGTGATCGCCCGACATTTTAAAAAGTAAAAGATAAAAATTGATGGATACTATTACAGATGGCCGCGATCTCTGTGCTTATTCTATATTTGTTTATTTATATCCTTTTATTTAACATATTCCAGTGATTTGATGACAAAAAACATATTGCTTAAGAAATATTGACATTAATATCTCAAATCAAAAATATAGACGACTGACAGTGTTGTAGAATGCAATTAAAAATGTCAGACGGACGTATCATAGCTTGACTGAAGATTAAATCAATCAAGTACAATTTTGAAGCATGCCGCATGCGCTGTCTGTTTAAGTTAAGTGATCATGCGCATTAAAGGCTTTAAAATATCATAACTTTGAGAATTATAAATACGTTTTGTTAATTATGTACCAACTATTATGTATCATAAAATTGATTTAAGATCTCAATATGTGATATAGTGATTTAAAATCATAATATATTACACAAATATTTTTAAAGTAATTTTAAAATCTTTTTCAAGCATTCGCTACATTCTACTTAATAAATAAATAATTCAAAAAAAAAGTTATAATATAATTACCTAAATGGAAAAGATATATTAACATCGAAGTCAAAGAGCAGTATGAACAGATTGTAATAGCAATGCAAATGCATATTATTATAATTTTTATTATTATATATTTTATACATGTCATTATTCATTTTTAAACATTTTTCTAGTTTGTCTTTTTGTTTGTTCTTCTATTTGTTTTTTTATCCTAGTAGCTTTGACAGCTTTGTCGAAAGAGGTCCGCAGGATGATGCGAGTGTGCGCGACAACGCCTTCCGCTACATAGGTACGCTACATATTTGTTTGTTATTTCTGTATCTAAAAATAGTGACATAAATAATATAATAAAACCAGTAATTCAATGGTTTCATGAAAATAATCAAAAAATCAATTTAAGTAAAAGCAAAGAAACTGTTAATGGATGGGCAAAACAATTTGTAATAAATTGCCTCACTCCATAAAACGTCAACCATATTTAACATTTGAAAAGAGTCTCAGAAATTGGCTTCTAAAACACACTTTTTATTCCTTTAAGAATTTTTTAACACTATTATTACTAATAATTTCTTGTATTTACGCGATTACACATTATAAATGAAACTAATTTTACGGATTTATCGCGTTTATTTTTAATTTTAATTCCCGACGTTTCGAACCCTTTACAGCGTTCATGGTCACGGGACAGACTGAGGTGTTAGACGTCTGATTGTCATAGTTAACCCGGGCTACCGTCAGTTTTTGAATTATTAATTTTGTGTCCGATCTATGGAGAGGGAGCTAATTGTATCTTGTCTTGCAGTAGTGGTTCGTTTGGGCCTAGATTTTAATTTTATTGATGACAGGATCCCAAGCTGATGGTAGTACCCAACCTTCTTCTCTATTGAAATTAGGGTGTTTTTTTAATTTCAATAGCCTCGCGAATCATCCTTGGGAGGAATCGGTGTTCTTTTGCAAGGATCTGTGGTTTGTCAAACCTGATGTAGTGGTTGGGCCTATTTAAAATGTGCTCACAAACTGCAGACTTGTTCAATCTATTGTGTTTTATGTCAGCTATATGTTCTTTCACGCGGGTTTTTATTGCTCTTTTCGTTTGACCTATGTTTGACCTTGAAATAACTCTTGATGCAAAGCTTCAATCAAAGAGTACTTTTATATATCTGAAATGAAATCTGTCTTGGGCTCCCATATATCGAAACTCGCCAGTAGACTAAGTTCTGCAGCATATGCCATAGGGAAAATAAGATGTCTAAATGACAAAAGAAAACAGGTAAAATTGTTTATTTTAGTTATTTCATAGCATAATGTCATATGGTATGTTGCTATGGGCATTCAGCCAAAATGGAAGCAATATTTATTTTACAAAAAACGGAAAAAACAAAATATATGTTTAATGTTTTAATCTAATGTTAATGTTTTTAGAAAAAAATTGGATATCTACAGAGTTTCTTTGAGCTGATTCTTCTGCGCTAGAGAAACTTAAAATTTTGGAACATAACAATAAAAGTAAAAAAGTCATCCATGAAAATAATCATACATTTCCATAGAAAAGTCAACACCTTTCGTCTAAATAATCATTATAAAATACTATTACAGAGTGTTTGTATATTAGAAATTTGCTAATTGTAAATATTTGTCGAGATTTTCATGCCGTGAAGATGTCAGATGCTTAGCTTAGTTGGATAGAGTGGCGCGTTATCAGGAAGACGAACTTGAGTTAAGTCTTGGGTCTAAGTTTGTGTTACAATTTAGGTTGATTAGAGACTTAATTAAATACATATAACTATCGTTTAGCATATACCGCAGTATTCATTGCAACTTAGCTTCTATCAATTTTTTTAGCAAGGTGTTAAGGTCCACGACCATTACCCATTATGAAAAATGACACCAATTTCAAAATTTGTTAAGTTTTTACCTAACCTCGAAGGTTAGGTAGGTTAGGTTATAGTGGATATGCTAATAGCTTTTTCTTAATACGGTTCTTTTTTGTTATTTTAAAAAACAAATGAATAAAGGAAAATAATTCCTATTATTTTATTGGATTATTAGTAATATTGGACGTTTAAATAGTTATATGTAATTCAAATGTCAAAAAACTGTGTTAAAGTAGTTTAAGTTTTAAATTAACGTAAGAGGTGCTTTTCTGAAGTCTGAAGGATAGACACCTCTTCCAATCTCTTTAGCTACCATGTTGTTTGTATTTCTTATGCCATAGAACCGCTAATTAAAAAGAGAGAAAGAGAGACTTAGCATTTTTTTTATTTTATTGTTTCAAGTGGAAATATTAATTTCAAAAATTATTTTCAGCAGGATGTTTTAAAGACACAGGTATGTATTTTCGTATCTTTTTGCCAAATACTTGAGCATCTTGAATAGTTTCTGGTAATTTCTTGTTCAATGTTTCAGGGAGTAACATGTTGCAAATTACGCCAACAAAACATATGCATGTTAATGTTACGCCTGTCAGCCGGGAATCTATACGACGCCCCTAAAATAGAAAAATGGAATATTTATTTAATTGTCATCGGTAATATTATTGAAGTTATACTTCGTTTGAAGTTTTTCTCTCATAATTTAAGTATATTTATGAGAGAATTTTATATTTACGATGTGCGCAAACCCACAATAAAAAAGCGACATGATGAAGTTAGTTGCATAGCGAACTTCACGCTATTGCTATGGCAACCAATAACAATTATTATTCCAAGCATTTAATATAATTATTATTCCAAGTTAGTATATATATGGTTAATATTTGTTATCAATTGCATTTAATGTCTTTTTCACAAATAAAGAGTGGTACAGGGAATAAAGTTTTGTTGTTTTTCTTTTACTGCGCATAACTTATTATTAGTCAAAACTTATTCATAACTCCCTTACACATATGCTTGGTAATTTCAGTGCAGTGAATTTTTAACTATTTGGGTGGTGAACATAGAGTAAAGTAATACTACAGAAACTGGTGGTGAAGTATGAGGAAGCGGAGAAGGGGTAACGCCGCTTACTTAGCGGCGCGCAGTGCGCTAGTTTCGTTGACGCGCCGCTAGACCAAGTCATTGTGTGTGTGTAGTGATGCGCCGTAGGATACTATCGATAGTATTATGAAAGGCTTTCGAAAAGGTACACAGATGATCCCTATAATATCTTTTATAGACCATGATTGTAGTTTACTATTATATTATAATTGGAATGATAATAAACAAACAAATATAAAGTATGAGAAAGCAATGAACAATTTTAGAAAATCTTCTTCCTGTTTATTATTATTTTTTTAATTAAATGGAAAAGGAATTGATTAAAATACATCTTAAAGTCAAATAAATTAATGTAGGCAAATTACTTATAATTATTAATTTTTGTTTTCAAGGTTTATATTGTTACTTTAAAGAAATGGCTCATAAAATTACGAAATTACGAATATTTATTTTATTACATATTTTTTTCATTTACATTATATATTTTTATTACATTTTTTTATATATGAATTATTAATTTGTCCCTTAAATGTTCAAGATTTACTATGTTATATTACTTTCTCAACTAAAATGAAATTTAAAAAACTATCGATAAAATCTTTATTTGTATCGATAAATGACAGCAATTATAACAAGAATCGAAATTTTGTCACTTTCCACAGACCTCGCGTAGTCTGTTGGTCCGAGCGTCATACACAACTGTCAACTATTGCTGTAGTCTCAAGTTCAAACCCTCATCGGGTAGAGTTGCATTTTTTATATTATTTTCACTTTTAATTTTTTAGCCAACAAATTATTTTGATTTTATTTTACAAAGTGGCTCAATTTGGGAAACAAACAATTATAAAACAATTATTTTTCGTGTATAAGATGAATTTTCGTTTAAGGGTGAAAAATTAAATATTTTAATAAAAAAATAGATGACGTTAAAATTTTTTAATACTAAAAGTTGATTTATTTACTGATAGGTTGTTCTCCAACTGTTTCAACTTTGAACAAATACAATAATATTTCGTTGTAATTATTTGTGAGAATAAAAAATCAACAAAAATTAAATGGTAATTAAGAAATATTTCCAAATAAGAAAATCAACAATAAGTACAACACAAAATTAGGGATTTGAACCCAATCCATAAAGAATGATGGTCCTATACACTGTACGTATAGGACTGATAGACCAATCACGAGACATTGAAATTACGCTTTAAATAAATTAATTAACAACTGCTAATACATACAAATAATTTATAAATACGAAATATGTGAATATATATTTTTATTTTGTGTTTTGGAAGGTCTAATAATATTAAAACTGTCAATAATAAATAAATACGAAACATATTTCGTAACGGTGAGCGGGCGATGAGCGGCATAAATCCATTTAGCAAGGCGCCTCAGCGCTCTCTGTTTAACGTGTGGAATTGGAAGAGAGCCGAAACAACGCCGCGGTGGCGCGGTGTTTTGGCCATCGCGTTGGAATTAATTTTAATGAATTAAATTAATATTTACAAGTATCTTATATCAATCAAAAAATTAAAACAACAATCCTTTTTATTAATATATTCTACACCACTGATATTAATTTCATTAAGATTTGTTGATGTATTACTTTCATTTTTGTATTTGAATTTCTCTTTTAGAGGTAGTTTCATGATTTTTTTACATCGAGAATATGTTTTGGAAACAATGTTCCATTAGAATGTACGATCAAGATTAACATATATTTTTTTTTGCTGCTTTAAAATGTGTAGATTTTGCTAAAAAATCTTTTGAAAAACCTATTTTTACTTTAGACAGCGCCTTAAGGCGGTATTCTTAATTAACGCACACTGAGCACGCTAAGTGGAGTACACTTGAACACGAAAAGTAAAAACGCATCAGTGTCTTAGAAGATCAAATTATACTGATTGAAATTCAAACTCAAATTCAAATATTCAACATAGGAGCATTTCACTCACTAATTGATTATTTATTCTTTATTTTATTTTATTATTTTATTTTATTTTATTGAGCCACAAAATCCACAGCCTTTAGTTGATTACATGTATATCAGATATTCTTAACTTACAGCCAAGAAAGGATTTACATTTTATAGGTAGTGTTGCAATTCCCTCAAAAAAAGGATTACAAAGGGCGAAATAAATATCTGGTGAGAAATCGTGGTAGGTGCAATTATGACATTAAATTATTTATATGTATTACTATATGATATATAAAAAATGACACTATTAATAATTGAAATTTTACGATATGGCCATGCAGTCTTTGCTTTTGCAGGATTGATTTGGCTCGTCCGGAGAAATAACAGGGCCGCACAGAAGTTGGACGTAAAGTGGAAATATTATGCTTCTGCGTTTCTTTTAGTAAGTAAACTAAAATAACTCTAATGGCCCAATAGTTTTAAAAAGTAGCAATATCTGCAACCCCACGGCTGATGTTAATGGGTGGCGTTTATCACTTAAAATCGGTTCAAAAGCCAGTTTGTTCAAAAGCCGGTTCAATTTCTACCTCGTCTCATAAAAAATCATTCGTAATTCTAATTTCTGAATGAAATATCCAGAAACCGTTTATAAAATTATACAAAGCTATTTATACATAAATCGCTTCAAGAAAATATGTTAGTCTGTAGGTACTAGAACCAATGTCATACAACATTATTATCGGTTTCTTATTTTTTTTTTGTGAACTACTTCGTTTATTTAATTAATTACTTACCAAATACAATACATATGGTGCTAGAGCTGAACCCGCGCTGCTAAACAAATTCCCCAACGACATTCCTGACTGCCGTATACAAGTTGGGTACAATTCCATATTAAATATGTTTATGATAGAATATGACATAGTGGTAGTTAATCTGTTTATTATAACTATGCCACTTCCCATCCAAGAGTGTCGCAAAATTTGGTTGGAGCCTAAAAAAGTAATGTACTTACGTGAAACAGCGAAATTAGTTTACGGATCCTCTTACTGTTTTATTGTAATTATATATATGTAGAAACGTTAAAAATTTAGGTAAATCTTCTTTAGCATAAATAAAAAAGAGTTAACAAAATCCTATAATTACAGAGGTGTATATATTATTATGCAAAAACAATAATCAAGCGTATAATTATGTGGCACCGATGGTGCCGCGGTTATAGTGAATTTAAAAACATTAATTTATATAAACTTGTTTCAATCCGGACTAAATGCGATGGCTTAGTAGGAAAAAATTACCAACGCTTTTCTCTTCCTAGAATATAAGACAAAGATGATAAAATTGTTCCTCTAGTAGCAATATCATCGTCACGTATGTCAAATAAACGCTCTAATAGAGTCACTCGTTAGTTGCTTGTGTAGATTCATCTGAGGAAGCACCACGGCGTCACAGGTAAACTTAAAGTGGAATTAATGTCGCATTTAGTCTGGTGAGTGAAGTACAAGGAACCGGAGTTCGCACTTCTTCTAAAAGCTGGCAAATTAAATCAAGAATAACGTAGTTTTTTGGTACTGACTGCTTTCCCGAATGGCGAGGAACGTCCATGATGTTGCTATGATCGCGAAGGACGTTGCGCCCGTGTATCTACGACCGATTCGGTCAGCAAGGTAGGCGGCCAGGAAATAACCTGGTATTTCAGCCAGAGACTGCCATACTAACTCCAAGAAGGGATTGCCATCTGCTTTTTCTCCAGAGCTCATGATAATGGCTGAATAGCTCATGCTTATACAAATCCTGTTGAGACATTGTCAATTTAAGTAGAAAGTACATTGTTAAATCTGAAGTAAATTTGCTAAGGAGTGGGATATGTTTATTTTAAGACACAACAAGTTCTGTCAACCTTAAATCACTTCTGATATACTCGTAATACATACCATATAATTAATTGTAACGTCGTATTTTTCGCTATGGTCCACCCTGAAAACAGTGCTAAAGTTCCCAATGAATCATTATTTTTTATAGGTTTAATATTTGATATTTCTTTTTCGGTTTCTATTGACAGATCTTTGCCATTTTGCTTGGCTATAAGCTTCAAATATTTTACACATTTTTCTGTTTTACCCTGTATCCAAAGCCAACGTGGAGATTCAATCATTTTCCTGAAATTTTAAATTGATTTAAGTGTATGTTGGCTTCTTTTAAGGTTTCTTACTAATTACTTTAAATTAACGCTTGTACAGATTTTGAATCCTCTGACCTAAACAAAGGAATACTTAATACAGATAGTAGTATCCGGGAGACTTTACTTACAGAGTGACGAAAGTTTATTAATTTTTAGTAAATATGGTTAATTAAATTTGAGTTATAGAATAGTATTGAATAATGCAGGTATACTTAAGGCCAAAGTGAAGGACATAACCACAAAACTGTTGCGTGAGGAGCACTACTACAATATTGGTACTGCGTAACACCATCCAGCTGCTTTGGATTGACTAAAGCCTCTTCCCATGACGGCTTATAAAGAGCCCTAGGACCTAGGACCTAGGGCCTTTGTTACAAAGAATTTACTTGCCTCGAAGACAAACGCAGACGTTTTTTTTTAAAGATCATAACAAAGAATTTGGATGTTTAGTGGGATTTGATTCATTTAATGTCGAAATTTCACTCGCTCGAGTCAAGTGGCAAGGTAAAACGTTCATTATCAATTCAAGAAAAAATGGAGAAAAATTATCCAGTTCCTATCATGCCACTCGAATTTAACGTAAACGTAAATCTTTAAGGAGAAAGTGAATGCGTTTGTGCTGAGTAAACCATTTAACATCCACGGCTGTATCATTAGGTAAAATCAGGTGGATAGGTAAAAGTGTGCATATAACATTAGTCTTAGCCGGAAATCTTTTTTACCATGCTTTCCCACCTGCCCTGAGCCAAAACACTATAAAGTCGAAAATATTGTGACCACATACATTGGCTAATAAATGATAAGGTATTTCCTACCATGAAAACAGTAAGAAAGGAAGCTGCGTTGCAGTAGTGATAATAAAGAAAGTCTTCCAATCCCTCAGCCACCAAAATAATAGCGACATAATGGCCATCCCAACACTCCAACCAGCGAACCGAAAGGTGGCAGTCATAGTGCGCCGTGCTGGTGAAGAAAGCTCCATGGATATTACACCGACGCTTTGAAGCGCAGCCCAAGATGGGAATGCGGATATAACACATCCAATTACAAATATAATAAAGGACGATCCCGATAGAAGAGAAATCATACGTCCAACTATAATCAACAAGAGTGATATTATGTAGCTAGGTCGACGGCCATATCTGAAACAAGAGATAGTTGCATGTGAACATTGTTATTTTTAAAGGATCCGAAGCCAATGTATAATGAAAAATATTTTATTGTTCTTCTAAGGAATAATTAATTCATAATAAAAAATGTTATATAGGGAAATTCAATTAATGGCGTAATGCTGTAACAAAACATTATGGTAGTTAAGTTGTAATAGTACTACTCGTTGTAATATATATGTATAGTAGTATACATATATTGTGGTATATAGATTTTATCAAAGTGATTTTTATTTTTATACTAATAGATCTCTCTTAAAAAATGCAAGTCTATCTTCTAGCTAGATAGTTCAGTTCACACTTCACAATTATGATTTGAACGTAGGGTTCACCTATATATAATGATGGTAAGCTTGCCTGAGACGTTTTAAAGCAATTTATGGTTATATCTTTACAACTCTTATGTCTTGCTCTTGATGCTGAAATGCTTATTCGACGCTGCGTAAAAAGTACCCGTTATGTTTAAGTTATTGATATCTATCAAACAATCATCATACGACGTAGCCAACATATTTAACTTAAATATAAGCACTTACGTATCTCCAAACCACCCGAAGATTATTGAACCGAAAAGTTCTCCGATTTTGCTCGAAGCGAAGATATTCGCAACATATAACTCTTTGTCGCAAACCCAGTTATTTTCGGAAGGTACAGTTTTTTCATACCAAGTATGATCGTATTCGTATGTTTCACAACCTATAAAATATACATGTCTACATGATCTACATACAGATTGAATGTATTATTAAAGCCTAACGGAAAAAAAATTTTTTTACGGAACGGAGCACAGAATCTAAATTTCACTATATTGCGATAAGCTGAAAAAAGCCAAGACATTTATTTGCTGATAAGAAAATAGATGATAGTTTAGTTTCTTTCAAGTATTTTACGCGTATATTACATTAGAAGATAAAATGAACACATTCAGTCAAACCTGAGTAAGTGAGAACTGTAGTCTTTTCTATGTAAGAAGATGAACGAGCTGGTGGTTAACGAGATGTTACATGATGAACTTTTCAATAAAGCGGGCCCAGATTAACTAACTGTCCAGACGAAATGTAGAAGTATAATACTTCCATTACACGCTAATCCTCAGTGAGGTCGTGGTACTACCCCGGACGAACCTGCCCAGTCAGGAAATACTACACCCATTCAGCATATACAGCAAATACTGTTGCGTGACCCTACGACAGTTGAAAGTCGCTAAAACGGAAACCTCAATGTATGAGACATAAAAGCCTTTTAAGAGAGTCGAGTCACACCTGTAGTTGCAATTTACTAAAGTTTATGAAACGTTGTTATTATTTTCTGAACTTAACAATAAGTCGTAAATAGCGTAGTAAGTACCTATTTACGTAGTCTTTGCGCACATTTGGCTTACTTTTATTATTAGTCAATGTTACTATCTCAGTGCAGTTGATTAATATCAACAGCGAACAGAGATAGTATAGTAGCGGACCTACGTCATGTCTTAAAGAAAAATCAAAAAGAAACTCATTGATGCGTTGGTGTGAATCGCGTAATGAAATTAACAGTGAGTTTGGTCCACCAGATCACACCTACTATAAAATTATTAAGTCACACAAGAGAGACAAGAAGACTCTGTATGTGTATACTATGAGAGAAACGAAATATTAAAAGGAGCCAACAACTCGACATTCCAAGTTTCCAGATAATATTATGAACTGCATTTTAGAATGGTTAAAAAAACCCTTGACGAAAACAGAATAAATAACGTTTCTATATATAGATTTTCTATAGATATAACATATTCTATAGATATTCTATAGATATAATAACATGTAATGTTTCGTTTTTATGAATAAAATTTATGTCATATAATAGATACATATCTAGATTTTTCACTACATATTTGTGGTATTGACATTAATTTATCCGCTATGAGAGATAATGGTCATTTATGTATCTCTATAAGCTAGAATCTCGGGTTAGTGAGAAATCTTCAATAACCATAAAAGAAAAAGCGATTGTAGTCGCTTGAATTCTCACTTATCCAGGTTCGACTGTATTGTACATTACAAAGTCACAAAATTATATGAACACTATGTATTGTCGTTTTGATTATACTATATTGTCAAAATTGTAAGGATTTTCATTTCTACGTATAAATTCTATCCCTTACATTGAATTAAAATGTTTTTTTTTTTTTATGCGAAAAGTTGTCAAACGAGCAGATGGTTCACCTGATGTGAATACCTCCGCCCATGGACATCTGCCACAACTGAGGGTTACAGATGCGTTGACAACCTTTTGAAAATTGGGCTCCGGCTACCTCACTCACCAGACGAAACGCGAAAGTATTTGTAATACTTCCACTTTACGCCGGTCTTCTGTGAGGTCGTGGTACTTACCCGGACGGGCCTGCCCATTCGTGCAACAGCCGAGGCTGCTGCGTGGCCCTACCACCGTAAAAGCTTGCTTAAAGCACTTATAGATAACAACTAAGACAATAATTGTAATACGTTACCTTTCGTGTTGTTATTGATGGAGACATTTGTATAAATTAGACAGTTGTCGAATTTAGCTTCACCAGCTGCATTTGTATACCTTTTAACCAAAGTAACGTTAATAAAATAAAAAGCAAAAAAATCCCACGCAGTTTATAATAATAACCAGACATCATTCTTATGATAGACAGGAATCATCGTAGCGATTCATTGGTTGCAAAGTATTTGTTACGTGTTAAGTGTTGGTTGAATTACTTTAAATATCGGCACTCTGAAATTCGCCTCTTACAAAACCAGTTCACTTTGTCGATCCTATATGTTTATTGGGGAAGAATAATAGCACTAATAATGTACGGAACAGACTGAACGTGGTTTTCATTCGGCTCTTTGTGCCCGATATTCGGTGCCCAAAGCTCGTAACGAAATCAAAAGTTGTCTAACAGTGGAGAGTTGTTGACTATTGATGAAAGTAATGCTGATGACAAATGACTCAAAATTTCTAGTTCTGTCTCAACTCTCAATCAAAATAAGTTTCCTGTGACTCAACGTGAAATGTCATTTGGACGGTATAAATATAGAGTAGTGTATTCTAATGGAATAAGTCTGAATAACAAAGTGGTGAAGCACGAACTTTTGTGAACGAACATATTCAAAAGGCTACTTACGTGGGAATATTCATTATCATCCATGAATTTTTATCGACGCCGTCAGGTTTTTCTGGAAGTTGACACGTATGAGGAACTATCACTAAAGCTAATATCAAATTCATATAAGCCATTGGCCATAGGATTGCCAATAAAACATTATAAATAGCATCAAACTTTTTTTGAAATCTGCCATCTTGGCCTATTTCACTTAGAACGCGGTCAAAAACAGAGTCCATATTTAGTAAAATTTAAAATGTAATAATGAAACAGAGACTGCCAAGACAACTGAGATTCGTAAGTATTCGAATGATAATAATATCATATATGTGCTGGACTTTATTGTTTTTATTTATCTGGAATAGTCATTACATTTATTCAAACAGAAAATTATCTAGATTCAAACATATTTGAATAGGAATGTTATCACGTCGTACTACACAATGTGTATATTTTCAACGTTTGCTGTACATACACGGGATATTTGTTTAGCTTTTTTGATAAGTGAAAATAAGATAATTATTACAAATTGCTGCAACGATTATTTCAATAAATTTAATCATTCTGTAGGCATCAAAATTATAAAGATACCTAATATAGGTATCTATATCATAAAATAAGAAATCGAATGTTTATCAAACATCACACGTCATCAACTCAATAACAATAACTCATCAAATAACAATCCATGACATTCAAAACTCAGGGTTTCTTATACTCAGATTTTTTCTATTTTATTCACTAAATCTTCTGATGTTTAGTACGAGCTTTGCTAAAAGATTAACTCGATGTAAAAATGGATCCATTTGAAGAAGGATATCGTCATCATCATCAGCGAGTTTGAAAAAACAACAAGTTTTTGTTTTTTTTTAATTTGTAATTGAAATTTGGTGAAAACTTTCGTATTTATGTCCCAAATATATTGTAATTTATTTGATTTGAACTTTTTTTTTCACCTTATTTTGACTAATATCAAAAAAGCACCCTAATTTTCAATCGAAAATTCTCGCGTCATAATATCAGCTTTTTTAAAAAAGTCGGTGGGGTTTTTGTTCGTTGAAATCTCAACTTTCAGATGGTTTAAAAAAATATAAGTTACAATGGTATCTAAATTTTCTCAGAAACGTGTTAAAACGCTTAAACAGTTTCAGGAATTAAAAATATATAACTTCGATCATCATCGTTTTTGGATTGTTATGTCAGATGAATTAAATACAAAAATGTCACGTATACTAACATTAATAACTAGCGGCCCGCCCCGGCTTCGCACGGGTAACAATACGGTTAACAAAAATTTTAAAATTAAAAATTATCATACACACACATAAAACCTTCCGAATATTTCGTCTTTGGTGAATTATTTAATGAATTTCTTCATGTTTTAATGACATACCCTTGAAATTACATCATGAAGATCGAAATACCGCTGACCACATAATGGTTCCGCTTTAATTACGGGACATTCGGGGTTACACGTAAAAGTGACAAATAAGTTATTTATTTAATTACTTATTTATATTTTTTGGCTTTTTTGTATTTGTTGTTATAGCGGCAACAGAAATACATCGTTAGTGAAAATTTCAACTGTCTAACTATCACGATTCATGAGATACAACCTGGTGACATATGGACAGTCATACCGAAATACAGACAGACAGCGGAGTCGTAGTAATAGGGTGCCGTTTGACCCTTTGGGTACGGAACCCCAATAAGTCCCAGTAATAATGCAATGGAATAAACCATCAACCTAAATGCATAAAATTGCATGCATGTCACAGTTTTGTTGCACACAGTACCTTGCTGAGGAATAGTCAAAATATATTAACCGTCTTCTCCTATTATGATTATTAAGGGATATTTTAGTGGATCATACAATCGGTGTAACTCAGAGACCCTTTTAACCTGGTCGTGTCTACCGTGCAACACTATAACTCTAGGGCCTTTTTAGGGTTCCGTAACCAAAGGGTAAAACGGGACCCTATTACTAAGACTTCGCTGGCTGTTTGTCCCTCAGTCAACAGGCTGTATCTCATGAACCATGATAGTTACACAGTTGGAATTTGATTTGGGTATTTGTTTACCAAGGAGGGAGGGTTGACGTCAGGCAAGCGGCTGGTTGTAAAAATATAGCCAAAACCGCTTACAACATGATTCATGTTGTGCCGACCCCACCTAGGAGGCAGGAGGATGATGATTGTTGTATATTGATGATACTTGTATACTTGTCCCTCTATTTTAAAAGTTCGCGTCAAACGAAGTCATTTGAAAAGGGCTAGTGCACTTTCGGATGTTGGTTAAAAATGTCCAGATGGTGAATGATTATTTGTCAAAAGATTTTTTATTGGCTGTGCTCCTCAATATTGGGGAGACTAACTTTTCCAGAAGCACAGCACATACCGTTTGGTACATCGACCCATTTTTTGGCAGAACACTTACAGCAGATCTTATTCATTGCTCCGATTTGGACGGAAGACTGTTGAGCTTAATGCATTAATGCTAATCTGTTACTGTGACCTAAAAGTCGATTACGAACTCTAGTCGTTGACGCTTGTTGTCTTTCTCTCTCATCTCGTAGGCGTTGGGAACGCTCAGAGCTCGATTCCAGAGTGTGAATTTGTATATTTATATTATTTTGCTCTTTAAGCCGCTCTACTTGACTCTCTCCGACTTGTAAGACGATTTACACTTTCCAGTACGTCGTATTCCTCATTACGACGTATTTTTGATGCCCTCGCCTGGGAACTATTTCTAGAAAGATGAAATCTTGACCTTTTGGGCAATTTAAAATGATAAAATAAATTAAACTGTTGAACAGGAATTACCACTATAAATGTAATTGACAAATTATAAGAACTACTAAGTCAGTCACTAAGCTGTTTGGATAGTTAAATTACAAAATACTAACATTTTTAAACTTGTGATATCTATCGAATGGAATGTCCGAAATCGAAAAGTAATATAAAGCTATTGAAACAGTCTTTAATATGAAGTAATTTATTTTTATAAGGATTAATACCAAGATACAAATAAAGAGCCTTTTCTAACGGCGGCATTTCAATCAAAATTTTAAAATAAAAGAAGACTTATTGTGGCATAACTATAATAGTTAGACATATGCTCTCGCGACACTTTTTGGAAATAATTATGTGTTCTGCAAATTCGTAGTACATTATTTTATACTATCATCAATAGTTTTCGCAGCGCACGCGATATAAAGAATATTTGAGGTAATTTTTGTACACTTTGTGTTACATTATTGAAGTTTTAGTAAGGATCCCTATTTTTTTGAAAATATAATGTAGCCTATATCAAGCGGGGATAATGTAGCTTCCCAACAGTGAAAGAATTTTTCAAATCGGTTCAGTAGTTTCGGAGCCTATTCAATACATACAAACAATCAAATCTTTCCTCTTTATAATATAGATTTACCAAGCACAACGTAATAAGGAAAAATGTGTAATATCAGCAAATTCTGCTTTTACATTTTAAACCATAAGAAAGAATTTTAGACCATGTATTCAAAAATAATGTCTAATGCGATTCAATTCAAATAAGATTATGACTGATTCGGGCCATCTTGTGATGTCTTAGCTGTCAATTCAAAGCCGGTATGGTAAAACAGATATTTTGGAAATACAGTTTAATTTCCTTATAACGTCGTTCGTTATAAAGAAAACTCTATAACGAAAATATAGTTCATTTTGGTAAGTTTACCATAAAACCCATACATTAATTCACTCTTTATGACGCAACAGCCATTCTCTATTAAAAAGAAATATGTTCATATTTAGACATCGACAACGTATTTAACAGTGTAATTGTTTTTTAGCTTGCAAAACTAATATTTTGAGGTGCCGAAATTTCTAGAAAAAGATACCTGACGTCATAAACAGCCGTGATGATTCCACCATATGCCCAATCCCAAGACAAGCACAAAATACTTAAAAAAACAAAAAACAAATATTGGCATAATTAACAGAATATATGATTTTAGATTAATTTACCTATTGATAGTACTAAAATTACAAATTATTGTAATTGGTTAAATTTGGTTTATTTTTTCTCTTCCCTCCGTATAACGAAAACTCTTTATAACGAAAAAAAATAATGCCCCTTACATATTTAAAATATCCTACCACCGACTATACTTAACTTAAAAGAAAAATAAGTATTTTGTTAGTGAATACAATGTAACTAAAGTTATCGTTCAATAAATGAAAATAGTACCTACTTCAATAAATTTGTTAATCCGTTTTCTAAATATTTTATACTAATAACGTGTTTGTGTAGGTTAGGTTCGTGTACTTATATACGTTTTTTGTTCGCACGTAAAATGTTACATATACCTACTTCTTTAAAATAAAAGCTTTCTTTTCATTCTTAAATACAAGCCTCTCCTTCTAACAGCATGTTTTGTCTCTTTTAAATTCATTCAACCCATTCATATCCTTTGTGACCTTTACAAAAGAACTTTACATTAAAGTTTTATACGTAAGGGCGGTTCTAAAATTCTTTGTTTTGGAAAATTGGATAACTCGTTAAATATTGATGTTTAAAGAATGTAAATCTTTAATACAATATTAAAAAGTTATGCTGTATACAGCGTGTCTTTACCATCGCGACAATAAATGAACACACATATAGAGATACAAAGTATGAGAGGTAAACGATTTTATCGAGTATTTACCAAATATTTTAATAAATATTTGTATACGTGTCTGTAACGGGATTTAGAATGATTATCTCTATGATTTCTTCACAAGTCACAAGGGCGTTTTGAATTAATTAAACCAGTGAATGCAAATAAAACATGGAAACCGCACGTTCATCAAGTCACAAATCACAATCATCAACAAGTGATTGTTAATAAATAGCTTTTTTTGCTGGATCAACCACTGTTGGCCTTGAGAGACTTTTAAAGAACCACAGGGATTGAGGTGGCTGGGCGCTGAGGCCGCCTAGCCTTAATCTCGATTATGGGTGACTAGTTTTTTGCCCGCGGCTAAGTCCGCATGTCAATTTTATATCGTGCTTAAGAAGT